CAAAGACGGCATCTCTTTCGATGCCGTGGCAACTATTTCTCTGGGTTTAGCAGAGGGCTTTTGGTATTTCCGCACCCTATTTTTCTTCACTTTGATCGGATCATGAGGACCGCCAGCAATGCTACCTGGATTGGCCGGTAGGATGTGCGACTTTATGACCGAGTGACAGACTCCAGTGGATGGATCGTCAGCAATGTTGCCGGCTATTGCTGTGTCTTCAAACGAAATATTTAGGGATTTTAAAATCAAATCCATTTTCGTATCGAGCGACGCAATAGAGGCGAGTTTAGCTATCGCCAACTCAACATCTGCCAACCTTGAAGCCAACGCTGAAAGTTTAGCACCGGTGACAGCCGGGCGCGTCGATCTTTTAGCGCAGCATTCAGCACAGCTGAAAAGAAAGTGGACGCTTGATGATAGCATTTTGTACTGGTCAGCTTGTAGGCCGGTATAGCTTTCGTGATACCAGCGGCAGCAGACGTCACACTGCATACCACCAGATGCATCTGTTACTGGCTCTGAACAGTTAAACTGTCCGCAAGCTGCAGTAGACTCATCAAACGAGGACCCCATAGGTCCATCCGTCTCGGTGTTTAGCGAGACAGCCATGTTCATGTGGAAAACAGATTAGAATTACAACACGTATACAATAGGAAAACGACCGCAATAAAATGCAAAAACAGGGTGCAAAACGGGATCAAAACTCGGAACAACCGGAAAAATTACCAGTAAGCGCCAAAGACGCTTTATCCAGTACCAATTTAATCGATCCAAGATATCTTGGATCAGAGATAATTTGACAATAGTCAAATTTCGTTTCAAGTGTTTATTCAAACACTGTTTTCCACGTTATTTCAGCTGAAAAGCTCGATCAGTATGGTACGCCAAAAAATCGAGTTCAGTTCAGTTCAGTTCAGATGGGGACTGGAACGATAGGAGAATCCCGTGAGTGTTCCATCTTGAGTGGATCGTTGAGCCAGGAATTGATGAAGTGCTCAGTTATTGATGGATCTAAAACGGAAACACCCGTATCGCACCCTGGCCAACCAGTTAATGCCCACGTTTCCTGCCCTAGCAGTCCCTGCTGTGGCAGTCACGTGAAGTAAGCAAAGGATAGGAAGAGAAATCGAAGGTACAGAATAGGGAAGTGCACTTAAATAAGAAAATAATACCAATACGTGAAGAAAAGTAGAGAAAAGAAAATCGAAGTACGAAGATGCGAGTTACTCAGGAAAATGGAAAGGTTTCGTGTTGCCACCCAAGAGCGTCAAGTTGCCGCTCAAACCCCTTAACCGTAGATTCCCTGATAACACTTTCCGGAAGCATGTTCCAGCGGTCGATAACTCGGCGTGACAGCCGGATTTCCGCCCTAATCCGATCGGACCGCGGTTTGTCCAGCTTCAACGAATGACCGCGTAGAACAGACAATCTAGCGGGACTGAATAGCCAAGACAAATCTGGACCAACCTTCCCAGTCAAGATACGGTAGGTTAGGATTAGGTCTCCTCTAAGCCTTCGGTAGTGCATTGAATGCATTCCCAAACTAAGTAGACGCTCGGGGTACGTCCGTCCCCGTAATCCCTCGACTAACCTAGTACCCACTCGTAAAACCCTCTCTAGCTCCATTTTGTCCCGGACGAGGCAGGGCGGACAAGCCTGGACGCAGTATTCCAGATGAGGGCGAACGAAAGCCGAGAACAGCCTCGTAAAGATGCCGCCCGTCAAGACTCCGAAAGAACGTCGGATTAACCACAACATGCGGAAACCTCTGCTTGCGGCCTTCTTCCAGTTGTCGCCGGAGTGTAACGCCGAAGAGTGTACGACGCCTAGGTCAACCTGGCTAGATACACGGGGGAGTTCGACCCCACCGACCAAGTACTTCGCAGGAGGACAACCTCCTCCAATTCGAAGAACGGAGCACTTTGCCTGATTTATGGGCAGTAACCATAAAGTAGACCAGTCCCAAAGCTTATCCAATGCTCGCTGAATAGCTTCGGAACCCCCAGGAACATCAACAATGTTCCACAGCTTCAGGTCATCAGCAAATAGCAGCGATGGTACCTCAAGCTCCGTGGGTAGGTCATTCACATAGATAGAGAACAACAGCGGTCCAAGGACCGAGCCCTGCGGCACGCCGCTGAGGACAGACTGCCTAAATGACAGACCCCGGCCTACCCGTACACATTGTTCTCTACCCTCCAAGAAGGCAGTCACCCAATGAAGGGCGCGGCCAGATACCCCGTAGGAGGACAGCTTTTGCGCGAGCCTCAAATGGGGTACCTTGTCAAATGCCTTCGAAAAGTCGACGAAAAGCACGTCCAGTGTGTGGCCGTTATCCACTGCATCCGCCCAATTTTCGCGAGCCACCAACAGATTCGTCAGACACGAAAATCCCTTCCGGAATCCGTGTTGTACATTGCTAAGTAGATTAAATCTACTCAGATGACTCTCCAATGAATCTCTCACCAGTTTCTCGAGGAGTTTGACTACTACACTCGTCAGACTAACTGGCCTGTAATTTGCAGGCAGACCCCTGTCCCCATGTTTAAAGATGGGACAGATGACAGCTTCCTTCCATTCGGAAGGCAATGCACAACTGTCAAGCGATTTCTGAAACACAATAGCGAGCGGTCCACTTAGTTCCGCAGCCAACTCATGCAACAGTTTCGGGTGAATTAAATCAGGCCCAGAGGCCTTAGAAGGGTTCAGCCCTTGTAACAGCCTACGAACTGCAGTCTCCGCTACAATAAATTCAGATAGTTCTGAACCCTCTGGGGTCCTGCAAACCAGCTCAACGCCTGTCAAAGAGGTTTCCCTTACAAACGCTGCCGCATATTGCCCACTGAGTACGCAGGCCTTGTCATAATCCGTATGCGCATGAGTACCGTCATCACGCATCAATACTGGAATTGACATGTTCGAAGCGCAGCGCCTTTTGACATAAGCGAAGAATCTTTTTGGATTCTCTGAAGCATCGTCCGCTAACCCTTTTTCAAAATTGAGCCGAGCATCCCTTAGGTGTTGCTTACACCTATTTCTAGCTTTACGGTACCTGTCATAAGTATCGGTGGACGGAGCGTCTCGGTAAGTCCGCCAACATCTAGACCTCTTTGTGAGCAGATGCCTGCCAGTGGGATCTATCCAGGGCGGCTGTGCTCGGGCCTCCTTTCTCCTTGTGACTGGTATGAAGGGAGCAGAGACCTCTGTGAGGTAGGACTTAAATTTATCCCAGGCAACCTGGACAGTATCGTCGTCTGAGATCTCACAATGGAAACCAGAAGCCTTGGCTCTCATTGATTGATAGTCTGCTTGCCATATGTTCGGGCGAGACTCAACAGTACTCTGGTAGCGTCTAGACAGAGTACAATTGAAGAGCAAACAAACATGATCACTGGAACCCAGTGGAGGTCCGTAAGTAATGTCATCAACAAAATCGAGTGACTTAGCGAATACAAGGTCTAAGATAGACGGTACTTGGGCGTCCATGTACCTAGTGGGGAGGTCAATGAACTGGTGCAAAGATACTTGGAGCGTAAGTTCAAGCAGATCAGCGCCGAATGTGCCTGACGCTGAGTCGCAAGAAAGATCTGCCCAACAAATCTCTGGGAGGTTGAAGTCGCCCATCACCAAACACTTATTTGCGGACTGGGAGCGAATGAATTCAAGTACCTCTTTGGATACGCTCCCAGGGCTTCTATACACAATTACAACTGTAACCTGAGCCGAGGATGTGCTAATAACAGCCGACAGAGCTTCAACAGTTTTGTCTGCCGACTGAAATAAGCAAGTCTTCAAAACGTCAAGTTTACAGCTCACATAAAGAGCGACGCCCCCTCCCTGTCGGCCAGCAGAGCGATCGCATCTAAATAGTGCGTAGCCAGATAGATGTACTTCACCATCCGTGATGTCCTGAGACAGCCACGTTTCAGTGAATGCGAGTATATCGGGATGAGACCCATCTACAAGCAGACCTAACTCGTACACCTTATTCCTTAGGCTGCGCACATTACTTAGCACTATCTGAAGTTTTTCGTTAGATCCAGACCTGGGTCGTGCGCTACCAGTACTGGCACTGGTAGGGCGGAAAAGGACCGCCGGCTGACCACCCGAAAACCCACTAACCGGAGACCTTGTTCACCGGCCGCTCGCCTGCTTTTGAGGTCCTTGATGGCCTCCCTTAGCTTCAGCCTATCGGCTAGCGGAAGGTCCGGCTGAACGCTAATGTTTGTACCTTTCAGCTTAAACGCAAACCGCATGAGAGCATTGCGTTCCTCCGGGGTAGAGAGTACCACACGAAGTAGCCGCGGTCGCGGGTTTGGTACGTTAACTGGGACGTTCCCCAGTCTAATCAGCTTCCTGACAGTAACGCCTGGAAAACCAGGCGGAAGAAGCTTCGTTACGCACATTTTAAACCATTGAAGGTCGTCCAACATGCGATCAGCGGGAAGGACAGCAGTAGATTCAGCCGCGTTACGGAATATAACGCTACTATCCGTGAAAGAATCGCCACGACGGGGTGTATTAACCCCACGGGTCTTTGATTCGGCACTCGGAGCAGGTGGCTTCACTACTGGTGATGGAACTGTCTTTAGCCCCTCCGATGATGTAGCAACGGCAGCGTATGTTTTTCGCTCCATTGTCGATGTCTTACTTTTGTTAGGGTCATCGATTTCACCGGAAGGCTTTATAGCAGATTTTGTCTGCTTTTTCTTCTTGATAACAGGAGTAGGGTCCCGTGAGGCTTTTTCGCTTTGAGCAGAATCAAGCACACCTTCAGAATATGTCTTCTCGGTGAGAACCAAGATTTCCGGCAACTTCGGCTGATAAGTAGTGCGTGTTGTGATCTTCGCCTTCGCACAACCGTCAGACGGTTTGCCAAGTAACGACACTTGGCTTGTTTCCGGTGCCGAGACAACAACTTCTTGTTTAGCAGAGAGCTTACGAGGTTTCCTGGCTCTTCTTCGCTTAACTCGAAGTGACCCTTGAACCAGCAATTCGGCATCGATCAGCGTAGGTATAGATACGACGTCCGAAGCTGCTTCATTTTTGTGGTCGGTAGCCATCTGGACCGGTGACATAATGATAGGTGCCACAAGCTGATCATCAGTGTAAGCGATCAAATCTGCTTTGTTGGAGACCGGAAGCGTCGTCATAAGCAGATCAATCTTAGAGCGAAGATCAGAGAGCATCGAGAACGAACGCTCTACATTTCGCAGCCGGGTATCAAGAGATTCATCTCTCGTACGAAAGGCTGTGCGGCCTTGCCGGCGGCTGCAGCAATTGGCACAACGGAACAGCAACTTTTCGCTAGAGGCCAGCGCTGCGTACTGCTCGGTATTTAGCTCCGTACAAAGCTGATGGTACCATCGGTTGCAGACATCGCATTGCATACCGCCTGAATCGTCAGTTACTGGTACATTGCAGCTTGGTCCGCCACAAAGTGCGATAACCTCAGAATCCGAGCCATCAGGAACAACAGCCTCGGTGCATTGCGAGACCGACATAGTGGAAAACAGAGTGATTATAACACGTATGCAATAGTTAAACGACCACAATAAAAAGGCAAAAAACTGGGTGCAAAACGGGGTTAAAACTGGGAAAAACTGGAAAAATTACCAGTAAGCGCCAAAGACGCTTTGACCAGAACCGCTTTAATCGATCCAAGATATCTTGGATCAGAGGAAATTTGACAATAGTCAAATTTCGTTTCAAGTGTTTATTCAAACACTGTTTTCCACGTTAATTCAACTAAATATCTCGATCAGTATTGGCACCTTCTATACTGTCGTATTTGACACGTCTTACGTGTCGTTGCTTACCGACTAGTATCCCGGGCTCCGCCCAGCAGACCTTCACATTCACTGATAGTTAAGTTCAAGCTCAAGGTCAAGTTCAACTGGAACTGCAACGATAGGATTAATCCCGTAAGTGTTTCTTCTTGAGCGGGTCGTCGATCCAGGAGTTGATAGGGGTGCTCCGACTTTCTGGTGGATCTGAAAGGGAAACACCCGATAAAACACCCTGGTCCACCAATTTACTGCCCACGTTCCTTACATTAGCTGTCTCAGCTATGTCAGTTACATGAAGCAAGTAAGAGGGGAAGAAAAAGCGAGGGCAAGAGAGTGGCGGAAATCAGTTAAAAGAAGAGAATAATACCAATGGCAAGGAAAGATAAAAAATAGAATCGAAGTATGAAGATGGGAATTAGTCAGGAAAATGTAAAGGTTTCATGTTGCCACCCAAGAGCGTCTAGTTGACGCTCAAACCCCTTAACCGTAGCTTCCTTGCAAACATTTTCTGGAAGTAGGTTTTAGCACTCGATGACTCGACGTGATAACCGTGTCTCCGCTCTAACTAGATCGGACCGCGGTTTGTCCAGCTTCATACAATGCCCGCGAAGACCAGATAATCTAGCAGGACTAAATAGCATGGACAAATCGGGCCAACCTTCCCAGTCAAAATACGGTAGGTTAGGATTAGGTCCCCTCTAATCCTTCGATAGTGCATTGACTGCATCCAAAACTAAGTAGGCGTTCGGGGTACGTTTGTCCTCATAATTCCTTGACCAGCCTAGTACCGACACGCAACACCCATCCTAATGCCATTTTGTCCTGAACAAGGCATGGTGGACAGGCCTGGACGCAATATTCTAGGTGGGTCGCAAAGCGCTGAGAAAAGCTTCACAAACACATCAGCGGTTAGGGTCCCAAAAGAACGACGGATAAACCACAACATCCGAAACCCTTTACTAGCCGCCTTCTTCCAGTTGTCGCCAGGGTGTAGTGTGGAGCAGTGGACAACAGTTAGATCGACCTGATGAGTCACGTGAGGATGTTCACTCACAACGGGCACATAACTTGTGGATAAAGCAGGTGCTCCGATACGCAGCACTGAACACTTTGCACGGTTTATGGGCAGCAACCACAAGACAGACCATCCCCAGAGTCTATGCAGAGCCCGTTGAAGAGCCACAGCACCTCCAGGGTTAGCAACGATATTCCAAAGCTTTAGGTCATCAGCAAATAGGAGCGATGGCACCTCAAGCCCCTCCGGCAAGTCATTCACGTAGACTGAGAACAGCAGCGGACCTAGGACAGAGCCTTGCGCAACGCCGCTAAGTACAGCTTGTCGAAACGAAAGACAGCGTCCCACACGAATACACTGTTCCCGTCTATCCAGAAAAGCTGACACCCACTGGAGAGCGCGACCAGCTATTCCACACCATCTCAAATTCAGTGAGAGTCGGGAATGGGGCACAGTGTCAAAGGCCTTGGCTAAGTCAATGAACACCACATCCACCGCATGTCCACTGTCTACGGCTTCAGCCCAGCTCTCACGAGCTACCAGCAAGTTCGTCTGACACGAAAATCCTTTGCAAAAACTATGTTGCTCGACACTATGCAGGTTAAACATATCTAAA